ATCCCCAAGCATCGAGAATAAATCCACGTTTTAAAGAAAAGCAAAATTTATTTCAAAGCGTTGAAGACATACTCAAACACGTTCTTTGTTAGAACTGGGGATACACAGTTAGGTCAAGCATAATAAAGGAACTTCAAACAGATACAGATCCAATGAATATCTTTCCCGCTGGCGGGCTAAGGAAACGGTTGCGCGCCCAGTACATGAGAACCAGGCAGAACATCAGACAAAACACAGGTGCAGTAGTCCTGGGAAAATCAATAGGCAAGCATTACAGCATCTTCTCCCCCACACAACCTCCAGCAGTTATCTTTTGCATTCCAAAGCAGGAACAGGATGATAGAAGCCAAGCCGGGTGTAACAGGGAAAGGATATGTACACAGAGGTCACAGAAAACAGAATGGCAGCTTGCTGACACTGGCTGAATCTCGTGACAGATTTTGCTTGTGACATTGATGCCTGCTCTGTGACGGTTGACCAAGTCCAGAGACAAGCAGTGGATAAGTCTCCCTGTTGATGGATCTGGAGTGGACTGAACAGAAAGAAATAGTGCTGGACAAAAAGTGTAGTCCTTTTGTACCAAACGTGTCTAATGTTTGGAGGAAACAATGCCTGATTCAGAGAAAGATGGTATAGTGAGAGTGACTATACAGAGAATGATTAAAATGTGGAATTCACTGCCAGAAGATGTGGTGATGGCCACAGGGATAAACAGTTTAAAAGAGGGTTAGATAGATCCATGGAGGATATCAATGGCTACTAGCCAGGGTGACTGAGGGGAACCACATTCAGAGGCAGTAAACCTCTGAATCCCAGAGCCAGGAGGCAACATCAGGGGAAGGCTTCAGCCTCTCTGCCCTGTTGTTGGCCCTTCAGAGGAACTGGTTGGCCATGGTGGGAGGCAGGATGCTGGACTGGATGGACCACTGGTCTGATCCAGCAGGGCTCTTCTGATGGTTGTATGTTCTTATCCCATGCATCCTCCAACAAGGAGCTGAAGGTGTCGTGCGTGATTCTTCTTTCCTCATTTTATCCTCACAACAGTCCTATCAGGTAGCTTAACCTGAGAGAGTCTTGCTGGCCCAAGGTCACCCAATGGACTTTGTGCCAGAGGGGGAAGTTGAACCTGTGTGACAACCTAACCTGCTACATCATACTAACTTGATGGTTCTTTGTTGCTACCACATCAAAAATGTATTACCTAGTTCTGAGGTGTCGAACTCATTTGTTATGAGGGCTGGATCTCACATAAATGTAACTTTGTTGGACTGGGCCATGTGTGCTATAAAATGTAACATGAGGTACCAGAGATATATAAAGATGATCTCAGATGCCTAATGGCAGTAGCAGGCATGATTGGATTAGGTGTGATATGCAGAGGGGAAGTAGGTGTGGAGATACCAGCATTGGTAATGAGACAGGAAACCTAGGTCTCAATTCCATCCAGGAGGATTCAGTCTAGGAGGATGCAAAGAATAAATGGACATCATCATTTGGCATCTGAAATCACTCCACTCTCCAAGATATAAGGACCAATCCAAGTGTTCTTATTCCTAATCAGGGTCTTTTTGAAAGAAAATGCATCCAGATAGGACAGAGAAATCCAATCATTAAAAAAAAACACTTTTCAGAATAAGTTAAAATAATTTCCTCAATGTACATTGTGCTTGTCAGAGGAATCCACCCACTCACCCTCCCAAGAAGTGTGCTTGCACACAAAAGCTTATACCTAGAATAAAACATTGTTGGTCTTAAACCTGGGACTCCAATTTTGTTTTCTCTCTGTCTCTTTTCTCCTCCTCCCCCCCAAAAAAAGAGGAGGAGCAGCCCTAGAGAAGAAAGCAGAATCAGTCTCTCTCTGTAAGTGTGTGTGTGTGAGAGAGAGGGAGGGGGCAGGCAGGCAGGCTTGTCTTTTTATCTCTCTGGCAAAGCAGCCATGAGGCTCTCTCTATCTCTGTGTGTGAGTGAGTGTGAGAGAGAGAGAGCAAGCAAGTGAGGGAGGGGGTGAGGGAGGCTTGTTTTTGCATCTCTCCAACATGAAGCTGCCATGAAGCTCACTCTATCTCTGTGTGTGTGTGAGAGAGAGGGAGGGAGGGAGGGAGGGTGGAAGGGAAGAGGCAGGAAACAGGAAGCAAACAGCCACTGAGAGAGCTGGGAAAAAGTAGCAGCCGTGGAAAAGGAAGCAGGAGAAGGAAGCTGCTTTGGGGGCCGTTTTTGAGCCCTGTGCAGGGCAGATCCGGCCCACGGGCCACATGTTTGACACCCCTGATCTAGTTATTGCAACTATTCCTTAGGTTGACGTCTTCAGTTAGTTTCTGAGACAGACCATCCTGCCATCTATTGTAGCAGGTCTAGTAACTACCTTGAAGATAGAATGGCTCATATTCTGCTTGGCTTTGGACCTTCCGGGTCAAGCTCTTGAGTCAGCGACTGAGATATCATTGTGTCCTCTTTATCTGGATTAGTTTAAAACAGCCTGTTGATGCCTGCGGTGTGCTGGGGGAACAGGAGGGCATCTGCTTGCAAACTGGATCCTTGCCCATTGTGGATGGTGAAAGTTTTGGCAGAGACTAGCTCTCTGCTGGTTGGAGCTATTGATGTACCATTCAGGAAACAGTAGTGCACAGTTGAGTAGTAGATTTCAGAGCCATTTACCATCCTGTTACCAACTTTCCTTTCTTGGAGAAGGTTGTTGGGACAATGGATATGGTTTGGGGCATAGATATATAGTAAACAATTTCTAGACATCCTCCTGGTCTGGTGTTTGGTCTGATTAATAATTACTACCTTGGGCATTAAGGGCCAACTACTTGTTCTACTAGATCTTTCTGCTGTTGTATCGATCGATAGTTGGTAAAGAAGCCCCTGTGGGGCACGGCAAGAATTCATGATGCAGTTGTTGAGTAGGGAAGTCCCAGAAGGTGCCCGCCACACCCACTCTGGTAAACTAGCAGTAGCATCTGTCAAGTAATGATTAGCACTCTTATCCCAAGCGTATAACCTGTAGTCCTGTATTTTTCTATGGAAGAAGCTTGCAAGATGGGCTGCAGTCCTAAGACTAGACTCTATGATGTGGCTGTTGGCAAATGTAGGATTCCAGGCCAGAGGCTAAAACAGCCATTTTTCAAAGCGCTCCAGGGAGGCCTGTCCCATCTGAAAGCATCCCTCCTTCGAAATGGATTCCTGTTTGTACTGCTGCCTGTTCTGATTTTTGTTAAAATATATCTCTAACTGAGTAACTGGGAAAACTCGGAGCCAGACGAGCATGTTCCCGTTTCACTGAAGGCCTCAAGGGACAACCCAGGTTGGCTTTGCTGCCTGCCACTGCAGGGGAGGTAGAAAGTCTGTGATCTCAGTGAGAATGTAGACAATGGCTGTGCCTCTGCATGGCTCTTCCTGGATCGATCAGTGGTCTTTGATACTCTGGACCACCCAACGCTATTGAGGCACTGGGAAAGAGAAAGAGGGATCAGTTTAAGTTGTGCTTTGGGTTAATTTAAATCATTCCTTATGGGCAGGATTCAGAGAGTGACTGTGGAAGACCAGTTGCCTTCAGAGAAGACCGCTGCCCTGTGGGGTACCACAAGGCTTGGTCTTTTCCCCTGTGCTATTCAGTCTCCGTGTAAAGCCCATACGTCACCCAGTGGTGTTATAGAGGTCCTGAACCAGTCCCCGACTGCTGTCGTAAAATGGCTTAGGGCAAGCAAGTTAAATGACAAGACCTTTTAAATCCAGTAAAATCATCCCCCCCCCAAAAAAACATGCACACATCATTAAAACAATTAAAAACAGAGCTAAAATACATAAAAAGATATCAAAAAGAGCAATTAAAGTATTGGTCAGGAACAATGCTCCCTCTAAGCTGTGGAATCTTGTGAGCAAAAATTCTACCTTGTGAGCGACTGGCATTAAAGTTGCGAGTGAGCAGTCTGGCTACTGCATAAATCAGTTTGCTCTGGAGCCAATCCTTCCTGACCTGAGACAAAAATGTGTGAGCCGGAGGCTAAAAAACCGTAGCTAGCTCACACTAACTCAGCTTAGAGGGAACACTGGTCAGGAACGGGGAATCACTGAGGTTGGGGTTACGGTTAACCCAAACCCTATCCCTAACCCAAAACAAAAAAAAAGTCTTCACTCGTTGGTGGAAGATGGTAGCAGAAGGGGACAGATTAATCTCCCTGTGGAAGAGAGTGCCAGAGCTTTGGTGCCGTCGCTGAGAAGGCCCCCTCTCCCAGGGTGCCTCATGCCTCAACTCAGAAGGCAGCCCCCTCAAAAAAAGCTGGGCCTCCAAAAATGACTGTCGTGGTCAGATGAGTTTGTACGGTAGGGCTGCCAGGTCTTACCGGGCCTCCAGCGTGGGGGCTCCTGGCTCTGTCCCGGGATCTTCCTGGTAACCATAGAGTTTTGGCCAAAATTCTAGACCGTTGCTGTGTGACGTGCCCAGCGTGATGACGTCACTTCCGGGTGACGTCATTGTGCCGACAATGATGCGGGAGAGGGAAACCCCACCCTGACCTGGGGGTCTGGCTACCCCATTGTGAGGGAGTAGGTGGTCCTTCAGAAGCTGTTTCTGAACGCCTCTGAATCCAGATTACCGGGTACAGCCCTCTCCACAGCAGGGCAGGTAGAGGAAGGGCTCAAGCAGCAGGGCCTCTGGGGCCAGTTGTAACCGTGGGGCAGGCTGTTCGGGGAGCATGCCGACCCTTAGGGGCTCTGGTTCCAGATGACACCCTCTGGCTTTCAGGGGACACTGTCTGCAAAGCAGGCCAGAGAAAGAGATCTAGTGGAGGGGGCAGGGGGCCCTTGGAGCCGTGGGTGGAAGGGAGGCCTCCGCGCAGCGAGTGGGTCACTGCAGAGGAAGTCGTCTTCATCGGTGGTCGTCCTAATGCCAGTTCTGAGGTCTCCCTGTTACCGTTCAGGCACTCAGAAATGCTGTTCTTCGTCCCGGGTCTCTGTTGAAAAAACAAATCTTAACGTTTGTCTTTTCCTTTCTGACTTAGGTCAATAACATCGGAAAACTGAAAGATTTTCTTCTGCAGCACAGGAAAGACTACATTAATGCCTACAGGTAAGTTTTGTGTGAGGACCAATGGAAGCTCGGGGCATGGGAGGTGTGGGCGGGGGGGGGGGGACTTGCGTGCCTGCTCGGCTGAGCTCTCTTACTTTCCTGCCAAATTCCCAGTCCAGTCACTGAACATAACAGGCAGCCCGTATGGGTGACACATTAAAACAGCTACGGTTGTTGAAAAGACTGGTGTCTGCCTGTTGCAAAAGCCTCAGTTCGTTTGGCAGCGGGGACAGGGGAGGTGCTGTGTGAGAGGCCCCCCCCCCCTCCCCGGAAGTGTATCCATGTCCTTCTGTTTGCTGCCAGGCTGTCCCTCAGTGTGAGTGGCTCATCAGTCAGCAGCCAGGCGCCTGCTTTGCGTTCAAGGGATCCCGGGTTCAAATCTCAGCCTCTCTCGTTTAGGTCTTCCCTATCCAGAGGGACCTGTGGTTCTGCTCTGCATACCATGCCAGCTGCAGGGGACATTCAGTTTCTCTGTCAGCATTCCATTTTGTCTCATTTTTGTCTTCCCACCTACCCAGATTCCCCTTCCAATCTTCTCCCCTGTTTGGGGTGTGATTCCATTCCTTTGAGGCCACCGTGGGGGAGAGAGTGCTTGCCTTACGACGCCCCTCTTGATGTCTTCTAGGAATGATTCATGCTCACCACTAGGTGGCAGTGTGCACATGCCAGAAATTATGGCCTTCATTTCCTAAACGGGGCCTAACCCAGTAATACCTCAAGGACACGACTTGCCGCTATTGAGCAAGAGGCATGACTGTGGCACTTTTTCTTATTTTGCTGAAAGGAAACAGTCACAAAGCACTTTGGAAAAGAAGAGTTCTTACGGGCTTTTTCCTTTGTGTATATGAAACCAAGAACCTGGTGGGGGAGGCAGCTGAACCCCAGTGCCAGCCTAGCCAGGCCTGGGTGATGCAAGCCAGGCCCAATCCCTCCTCCAAGGCCAGCAGCGGTGTCGCTTCTTGTAGACCGTCTGGGCGCTGGCCAGAATCTGCTGGAAGGAGGGAGGGAGGGAGGAAAACTGACCAGGCATCGAAGTTCTCAGGGCCGGGGAGGTTTGGCCTCCAAATGTCTGACTCTCCTACCTGACTTGCCCAGCCCCCAACATCATACCCTTGTCAGGTTCAATAGAGCAGTTGCAGTCCACAACGATTCGTAAGAATAGATTTCTTTATTACAAGTCACTATTGATACACTTCCATGGTCATTGCCAGGAATGAAACTCAAAGCCAAGCATGGGCAGATATAGACAGTTCAAACAAACAGGGTTGGCCAATGAAAACAGTTTGTGCTCAGCAGGAATTCGAGCGGGAGAAAATCAAGGTGGGAGA